CAGCATTTATCTTCCGAGCACCGTTCTAACCAGCCGAGAATCGTACGATTCCCGGCTGGTTTTCGAACATGCTGGTTCGACAGAAGACGTGCGACCGTACAGTAGAAACGGTCGCACGTCTCCGTTCACACTGCTCGATTATCGTACGAAAAACCGATCGCATACGATTATCGTACGATAATCGTGCAGTGTATGGGCACCTTATAGCAGACATTCTCATAAGGGTGCAGCTGTGGCACATGGGCCTTTAAGCTGATGCTGCTGGCCAAGTTCTGTAGTAGAAAAGCCAACAGCATGACCACCAATGTAAGGAACATTCTTCCCACTGACCCCCAATGTAAGGGACATTCTTCCCACTGACCCCCAATGTAAGGAGCATTCCTCCCCACTGACCCCCAATGTAAGGAGCATTCTTCCCCACTGACCCCCAATGTAAGGAGCATTCTTCTCACTGACCCCCAATGAAAGGAACGTTCTTCCCTCTAACCACCAATGTAAGGAGCATTCCTCCCACTGACCACAGGTCAGGTGCAAGACTTTGGCCAATCAAGGCTCAGTACCCATTTGGAGCCATGATTGGGCAAAGTCATGATCACTCTGCCCAATCATATCTCGCCTATCAGATGACGGCAAAATACACAAGCTGTCACCGCTAGTTCCACCCAATTGTTTATGTTTTGCCGGCATCTGTCAAAATTCCATTATGTGGCGGGAGTTGGCGGGGAGCGGACGGGCCGGCGGCAGTCAGGGTTGTGGGGACCAGGCTCTTGTCCCCATCGGCACCTGGGACAAGGTGCTTTTCCAGGGGCGATCCAGCACCCTCACAGTGCCGAGGGCATGTGGTCTCTTGTGTGTTGGCGCTTGCTCGTCCCCCTCCCCCCTTTCCGGCCCTGATAGGCCTAGGCTCGGATCAAGGGTCTGGGATGGAATTTTAGGGGGGGCCCCACGTTTTTAGAATTGTCAGTTTTGCTGCAGCAGGTACTGTACATCGCACAGATCCGCCACTTCACAGGCAGGTTAAGGGGACCCCCCAGGCACCATATTTGAAGAAATCTTTCATTTTTATTATTACACTTTAAGCGATGTTAAAATCACTGCTTCTTTACAAACCTTTTTTATTTTTTTCATTGATTCCTGTCCCCCAGGGCAGTACTCGGACCCCCCCATAAATGTCCCCTAGGGCAGTACCCGGACCCCCATGCACATTTTATGGCCAATAACCTGCATATAAGCCCTCTTAAAGAGGACAATCATTTTCGAAAGTTCGACCCCCATTGACTTGCTTTAGGTTCTTGTTCGTGTTCAAACTTTTCGGCCGTTCGGGTGTTCGAATACGAACCGAACACGGGGGTGTACGGCCCATCACTATTTGGAATATCCAATATAAAGGAAAAGTCATGGTGACAAAAAATCTGGGTTTAGCCAATAATTTTTGGCATATAAATTACACTGGTCTACAAATTTTGGGAAATGATCGACCTCGGAGATAAAATGTGTTCATTCTTATTACACATTTTGATGAGATGAATTAGAAAACAGGAGATGAAGTTTCTGGCTGATCAGTTGGCTGAAGTTTTCAGAATATTTCACAATAAAGATTTATACACAGGCTAGAAACTAGAAATCACAGGGCCCCATACAAAACTTTGCTATGGTGCCCTGTGATTTCTAGTTACGCCCCTGGCGACTGCTATTTTTGCTATTTTCGCATGGTTCCCCCAATTCTCATTGCTATATCACCATCGTAATTTTGAATTATTTTGAGGCAATTTTGACCTGAAGCTGTATCTTGGAAACTGGAGCCAATGAATACTCAGGACTTCATTTTCCTTTATTAGTGACCCAATTCTGGTAAAATTTAGCTACTTTCATTTCCGAGGCTTTTTCCTGGTAGACCAGTGTGATTAATAATAGTGGGCGTGGCAAGTGTGTGACCATTACATATCTATAACTGGACGTGTGGCAGGGGGTGTGTCTATTACCAAAATACATTGTGCTGGAAGGTGTCTCTCTCATCTCAGAAATTTGGGAGGTGTGTATTAACATAGATGTAATGGGGATAGCTCTCTCGCTGACCATAATGCATGGGTGCCGTTCTACCACTGATCACCAATGGAAACAGACATCTACCCACTGACCATTAGTGTAAAGGGGTCTGTCTGTATTTCTTTCCTGGGCATTATTTTATTTCTCACTTTAATTCTGTGATTGTTTCTCAAAATGATTTTTATCATATAGGGCAGGAGGTGTTATCTCGGATGAGGGTGGAAGGGAAAAACATTATATATTATAGATAAGGTGCCCTGGCCTTTACCAATACTTAAAACATTTTTACAACTTTCAGCTGTTATATATGTGGCTTAATAATATATATATATATGTATATATATATATATACACACAGTATATACTGTAAATATATCTATTTATGTTGCCCATGGTTCTCTTTAAATACAGGCTTCTCTCAACTTTTTATGCCTTCTTCTATTGCTCGGTAACTCTATCAGTGAGATCCCTGCAGTCATCAGTTCTGCACACCTGCTGTGTCCATTATGAGGGGTTCCCATCATCCTTACACTGAGTTCTTAGTACTGCCCAAAAGTTGTACCCATTTCGAACAGTTCTCACCATCCCTGCACTAAGTTCCCAGGTCTGCAGATTTGCTTTGCCCATTATGAGGAGTTCCCACCATCCCTGTGCTGAGTTCCCGGGGTCTGTACACCCGCTGTACCCATTATGAGGAGCTCCCACCATCCCTGTGCTGAGTTCCCGGGTCTGTACACCCGCTGTGCCCATTATGAGGGGCTCCCACCATCCCTGTGCTGAGTTCCCGGGTCTGTACACCCGCTGTGCCCATTATGAGGGCTTCCCACCATCCCTGTGCTGAGTTCCCGGGTCTGTACACCCGCTGTACCCATTATGAGGAGCTCCCACCATCCCTGTGCTGAGTTCCCGGGTCTGTACACCCGCTGTGTCCATTATGAGGAGCTCCCACCACCCCTGTGCTGAGTTCCCGGGTCTGTACTCCCGCTGTGCCCATTATGAGGAGCTCTCATCATCCCTGTGCTGAGTTCCCAGGTCTGTACACCCGCTGTACCCATTATGAGGAGCTCCCACCATCCCTGTTCTGAGTTCCCGGGCCTGTACACCTGCTGTACCCATTATGAGGGGCCCCCACCATCCCTGTGCTGAGTTCCCGGGTCTGTACACCCGCTGTGCCCATTATGAGGGCTTCCCACCATCCCTGTGCTGAGTTCCCGGGTCTGTACACCCGCGGTACCCATTATGAGGGCCCCCCCATCCCTGTGCTGAGTTCCCGGGTCTGTACACCTGCTGTGCCCATTATGAGGGCTTCCCACCATCCCTGTGCTGAGTTCCCGGGTCTGTACACCCGCTGTGCCCATTATGAGGAGCTCCCGCCATCCCTGTGCTGACTCAGAATACTGGATCTTTGGGTGGACTTATCCTTAAGGTTTTTTTCATGTCAACACACCAGTTATTCCGTGGAAAGCTTAATTTCTCTCTCCCACTGAACAGCAGGAGGACTCAGATAACCTTAGCTGGCAAGTGAACGTAGTTCTGTCCTACTGACCAATCAGAAATCATTGGGACAAAACGCCTTTAAACACTTTTGTTAGAATTCCTTTTATTTTATGAGACACTGAAAGGCAAAGCTGTAAACAAAATGTATGGTTTGAATTCTGAAAGTAGTTTTCAGGCCCTTTAACTTCTTTAGTTCAAAGATTCGTCCTTTGACGCAGCGTTGTAGGCAATGACACGCCTCCTCCTCCCCCCACTATGACACATCGGCCAGATTACACGTTTCTGGTGAGGAACTAAAAGTTCCAGGATCTGATTCCAGCCAAGGCAAGCTGGGGCCAGGAATTCCATTGTAGAAGACAAATTAAAGTTTGTCCGTGTTTGGTGGGACTTGTAGTTCTTCAACACATGAATCTTTCCTGGGACTTGTGGTTATTTTACGGATGGAGCTGCAGTTTTTTCCCCCCCAAAAGACGTGAACTGAGGTTTACAAGCCTCACCCAACCTGTACCAGAAGCAGGGCTACCCTTCAGTTTCTTTAACAATTACCACTTTGTAAGCTAATTCAGCCATTCTCAACCAGGGTTCCATGGAACCCCAAGGTTCCTTCAGGGGTTGGTAGGGGTTCCTTGAGCTGTGGCTGATTGACATCCCATTTCACCGTGTCTGCATTGTTCTGGGGCCAACACCACTTGGAAAAGCCAACAGCATGACACCAATGATCTTTTAAGGCAGGGGTGTAAATAATAATCGTGGGCCGCATCAACATTATGGTTGCCCTCTAAGGTATCTGTAAGACTATATAAATGTATCTAATCTTTATCATAATTGCCTCTGCATTCGATTATCACTGGTATAGTAATAACTTAATACCTAGATCTGAAAGTAGAAGTCTAGGAAATGGCCCGGTGGGCCGGATTCGGCCCCCGGGCCTTGAGTTTGACACGTGTGTTTTATGGTGTCTGTAAGGGGGCCATTCTGACCACCAATGTAAAGGGGTGATTCTTCCTACTGACCACCAAGGTAAGGCACATTTGACCCCAATAAATTTTTACCAGGGGTTTCCATAGACCTGAAAATTATGTCAAGGGTTCCTTAGGGGTAAAAAAGTTGAGAAACGCCGGGCTAAATCATACAACATACACTGCTAGAACAATATTATTTTTCGCTGCGAACACAGAGGTCTACCTACTGGAGATGGGGCATGGTGGTGCCATCACATTGGCCCACCTTGCATTAATTTGCACAATTTTGTCGATCAGTCCTGTTGTTTTTTTTGCATAATCTTGAAGGCTGGGGGGCCAACGTACAGCCTGTACTATCAGTTCAATTCCAGAGGGTCCTGAAGAAGACTAGGGGGGTATTTGGGAGGGCATCTTAAGCCCAGGAGACCAGCTCTTAAACTCAGGCTCTGGAAATACAGCCAACGTCCAACGATCCAGAAATGAGAGTGGGGACGATCAAGACTCGAAGGCTATGGTCACGTCAATGCCAAATATGTTGAACTTGATTGAGAACTTCCAGCGCTGGTTTGGGTTGTCGTTCTAGAGGAAGAAAAATATACAAATAAAATGATTCACCGGTTTATGGGCAGCGGGGAACACACCCAAAAAAACCCGTCCCCTACAGAAGGGTTCACATGTTGACAGCACAGAAGACGCAGCGACTTCCAGTAAGCTGCATGTCTGGTCATGTTTGGTACCTCAGGTGTGAGAGGAAGTCTCATAAAAACACTTCAAGTAAAAGGAACAAACAATTTATAACAAACAAGATGAAAGCCCCAGTGTGTCTGGTACAAACCAAGAGGTGTGAGGACATGCAGGCCCGGATTCCCCACAAGGCCACCGAGGCCCGGCCTCGGGGCAGCACGTAGCAGAGCGGCAGCAGCGCCGTGGAGTCCCCCGACGCCCGGAACATGTAGTTCCGGGCGTCAGGCGGTAAGTGGGGAATCCGGCCGTTCGTTTACAAGTGATTGCGGCAATGTCGCCGTGATCACTTGTGATATGTGTGCAGTCCCCTCCCCCGCACCTACCTCTCTCCGCTTTTTTTCGGGACTCCGTCCTCCCCCAGGCCGCCGAATCTCTCTCAGTGAGCAGAGCGGCAGGGTTAAAACTAACCCTGGCGGTCCGTGTACACAGTGAGAGGGGTGAGCTGTGCCCTGCTGTGCTGTGCTCTTCCCCTCTCACCTGTCACAGGAGTTCCAGCACAGTACTGTGCTGGAATAAGAAAAAATAAAGAAAAAAAGGGGGCACATTGCGGAACCTGGCCTTGGGGCGGCAGGGAGAGCAAATCCGGCCCTGAGGACATGTGAGCTTGCACAACACTGAAGGGGCCCCCAATCCTGGACTACACCATTATGGAGATAGCAAGCTTGGATCCTGAAGCTGCCCGTCCTGACAGCCTGGAAGTGACTCATTATTGCCCACGTGGTATTCAGCAGCAAAACTTACAATTGTGGCCCAGGTGATGGGGACGTCACTGCACAGGATGTTGATGGGGACACCCAGTTTTGTCCTATCGGCCTCCCCTCCTGGTATGAGGTCATATGATAAATCGCTGTCCCTTGTTGAGTTCTACAAGAGGAAGAAAGACCAAAAGGGGGAATTTTAAACAATAATGTTCAGGAAATTATTAAAGGAGAAGTACAGGGTCAGGGCTTTTCCCCATAGTTCTCCTTAGTGTAACAGGAGGACACAAACTAGCGTCCTCCCGTCACCCTAAGCTCAGTATACCGCGAGCTACAGCACTGAGACGCCGCAGCTGAAGCGGATCCCGACATCGATGTCTGGATCTGCCCAGCTGCGTGAGTGACAGCTGGCTCTGCCTATTTAGAGACAGAGCCAGGTGTACCCGCCCCCTCCCACGTCCGTTCCGCCAGTCAGCGCTGGAGGATCGGAGCGGGGAGGGGGTAATCCAGTCGCTCCCCAGTCACGGCAGAGAGCCGTGGCAGGATCGAGAAGTGAGCGAACGCCGGTATGTGTTCGCTCACCTCCCGATCTACTGAGCCGACCTGTGACAGTCTCATTGTCACAGGTCGACTAGAACTATGAGGTGAGTGAAAAGATGTACTCAGTACTTGGTTTGGGCCCCTTTTGCAGCACTTACTGCAATTACTTTTGCACGATATTCTAATTATTCGAGTTTCACCTGTATATGTTAATTATAGGTTGAGCCACCGCCTGGCTAATATTTAGTCTGGAGGACTCTTTTAGAAAGATCCCCTCCCCCATTGTTCCTGGCTCTGTATCTTGGGGTGTTTCTCACGATACATGCCCAAACATTGTCAGCCACTCCACTACCTTCCTCTAATGCATTAGAACATGAAACTATCAGACCTGCTGGATATAAAACATTCCGAGAAATTCGTCACATCTGCTCTCTGCTGCCTCTTTTTTCGCAGCTAGCACAGGCACTCCCACTACCAGCCTGATAGGTAACTTCAGCTTTACAGTGGTCCCTACCTGCTGCTGGAATTGTTTGATGCTCTTCAGAATATCGGACATTGTTGGCACATTGATATCCCCCATCTTCACGATGTAACAATTCTTTCCGCCCGTACGTCTGAAGCCGATGAGACCCTGGAATGAGACAGAGGCTACATAAGAACTTCTATTTCCTCTATGGTCAGGTTTGAGTTTTGGCATTGGCACTGACCTCAGTTGGTATTATCAGGATGCTTCTAGCTAGGGGGGGGAGGGGTTCGCCAGCTGGACCAAAGCTGGATGTAAACCGATGGTCGGTTAACCCAGTCTGGATGGGGAATTGGTTGGTGTTGAGGTTGATTTCATCTCACCAAAATTTAAATTTTTCTCAAAGTTGCCAATTTCAGGTTTTGCTAAAGTTCTGTTAAAAATTAAATTGTTAATGAATGGGCTGCCAACACACCAAATGCCCCCAAAAAATGGGAAGTGACCTTCATTTTGTAACGTAATCTACTATAATTTGTTGTGGTGCACTATGACCCCTAATGTGTTTCCTTAGTGTGTTGGGGTGCTATTCAAAGTGAAGGGCACTACAATTATGTAGGTTAGATTAGTGCAATGCAATAGTGTAAAAATTTGTGGTGTAAAATTTGTGTAAAAATTAAACTACCCACCAAAAAACCCACATCAGCTATATAAAGAAAAGTTGATCAATTAATATTCTCTTTAAAGGAGAACTATGGAGTCAGTGTTTTTCCTAAGGGTCACAGGAGGACATAAACTAGGGTCATCCCATGACCCAAAGCTCAGTATATAGAGAGCTACAGCTCGTGGTATACTGAGACCGCCGCAGCCGGGACGGATCCCAACATTACCGTCGAGATCCACCCAGCTGCTTGATTGACAGCTGGCTCTGCCTATCTAGAGGCAGAGCCAGCTGTACCCGCCCCCTCCCCCGTCCGTTCCGCCAGTCAGAGCTGGAGGATCGAAGCGGGGAGGGGGGGAATCCTTGCAGGGAGCCGTGAGTGACAGTCACGGCTCTCTGTAGGGACATGATCGAGAAGTGAGCGAGCGACGGTATGTGTATGCTCACTTCCCGATCTATTGAGCCGACGTGCGACAGTTTCATTGTCACACGTCGGCTCCAACTATGAAGTTGAGTGAAAATCACTCTCCTCATAGTTCTCCTTTAAGAAAATTGCTCATAAGCAGCTCAGTGAAAAAAAACCTGAAAGTTTCCACTTGAGCAAAATTTTGCCGATTGAGTAAATTGGTGATTTGGAAATTGGTATTTTTGCTGTCTCTGTGACGCCTATACAAATAATAGAGGTGGAGTAACCTGGACAGGAAGGTGTGGCGTGCATCATCATGGCAAAATCATTGTCAGAAGCTCTTACCCTTCTGCTTGCCACTAAACCTGTCTGGATAGGAAGTGAACATCTCCCCAATGGGGTCACAGACAGGAAATATAACTCTTCCCCTCCACCTCCAAAACTAAAACAAAGATGTTGGCTTCAGCAGCACATTAAGCCCTTGATCTAAGTGTAGAAATGGAGGGTGCAGTATGCAGTCATTATGATTGTCCCTGTCATCTCAGAGCACTTATATTACTCACATGGTTGTAGTCATAAAGGACGGTGGATGACACGTTGTTGGTCTGCACATAAAACGCCGCCACCTTCTCCACATCATTCAACATGACCGTCTGCTGGACCTTCTCGCCAGTCTTGTCATGGAACGCCATTTCTACCACCTGCAAAACCACCAACATTCGGAGTGTTTCCATTATTCTGATTTTTTTTAACTTACTAGTTAACAAAAGGCATCGAAAATGAAGCAGCTATTGTGTGAAATACATCAGAGTTATTGGGGAGGGTGAAATTTAAGTGGTTTGGGGTGTTTTTAAAGGTAATAGTCAGCTTTACATGGCTCCTGAAAGCTACAGCAGTGCTTTTCAGCTATCCAGGATGAATGCCAAAATATTTAGGAACTCTAACTCTATCCCTAATACCATCAAGAACCCTAACTCTATCCCCAATACCACCATGAACCCTAACTCTATCCCCAATACCGCCATGAACCCTAACTCTATCCCCAATACCACCATGAACCCTAACTCTATCCCCAATACCACCATGAACCCTAACTCTATCCCCAATACCGCCATGAACCCTAACTCTATCCCCAATACCACCATGAACCCTAACTCTATCCCCAATATCACCATGAACCCTAACTCTATCCCCAATACCACCATGAACCCTAACTCTATCCCTAACTCTCTTCATAACCCTAACTCTATCTCCAATACCACCATGAACCCTAACTCTATCCCTAACTCTCTTCATAACCCTAACTCTATCCCTAACTCTCTTCATAACCCTAACTCTATCTCCAATACCACCATGAACCCTAACTCTATCCCTAACACCACCATGAACCCTAACTCTATCCCTAACACCACCATGAACCCTAACTCTATCCCTAACTCTCTTCATAACCCTAACTCTACTGTATCCCTAACACCACCATGAACCCTAACTCTATCCCTAATGCCACAACTAACCCTGACCCTATCTATAAGGCTACCACAAACCCTAATTTTATCTCTAATGCCATTATTATTATACAGGATTCATAGAGCGCCAACAGTTTGCGCAGCGCTTTACAATATAAGGAAGACATTACAATCACAATACAATTCAAGACAAGATGGTAAGGAGGGCCCTGCCCATGAGGGCTTACAATCTAAAAGGGAGGGGGAAGTGATACATGAGGAGGTAGCTGTGTGGGGATGAATTGTTTGAGAACGTGATGGTTGAGTGGTTAGGTTGAGGTTGGATAAGCTTCCCTGAAGGGATGAGTCTTAAGGGAACGCCTAAAGGCAGTCAAGGTGGGAGATAGACGGACAGGTTGGGGTAAAGAGTTCCAGAGGATGGGAGTGCCATTATCAACTCTAACCCCAACTCCATCCATAACAGTACCATGAACCCTAACTCTATCTCTAATGCTATCTTGAAACCTAAATCTACCTCTAACGCTATCACCAACCTTAACTCTGCTTGATAGAGGACAGAGCAGAGTGACCAAGAGATGAGCTTGGGTGGGTCCATAACATGGTCTTAGAGGAAGTGGGTTGAGTGATGCAGTCCGCCATTCAACAAGGAAGCCAGAGGAAGTCTAGGGGTGGCAAATATCTACTGGGGGAGTGAATGTGAGTATTTCAGCAAAAGCTGATTCTTTATTCTATCTTTAAGTTGGCTATTCATTTTCTTTAAAGGAGAATTATGGGGTTAACACTTTTCCCCATAGTTCTCCTTAGGGTAACGGGAGACACAAACTAGCGTCCTCCCGCCACCCAAAAGCTCAGTATATAGGGAGCTGCAGCTCGCGCTATACTGAGACGCCGCAGCTGAAGCGGATCCCAACAATTGTGCCGGGATCCGCCCAGCTGCGTGAGGGACAGCTGGCTCTGCCTATCTAGAGGCAGAGCCAGCTGTACCCGCCCCGTCCCCCGTCCGTTCCGCCAGTCAGCGCTGGCGGATCGGGGAGAGGGGAATCCAGTCTGCAGATGACTTTGTCAGCATTTTGGGGTCTTCCGTCCACTTTCAGTAAAGTATTTGGATCAACTCACCGCCTCGGTGTGCTTCTGGTTCATGTACACCCCGATTAAAGTGGCCCCTACCACAATAATGGCCAGGAGGAAGAGCACGAGGATTGCCCATGTCCAGGTCTTCCGATTCTCGTTCATTGCATGGGGACCGGCGGACGGCTGGAATAAGAGGGATAAAAACAAAATCAGTGTGAGCTAAAGCCAGTCAGTGCGATTTGCATAGCAACCAAGTTACATTGGTTCTTATAACTCAATAGCAACAGTGTATATACTTCCTTTATCTTTGCACAGAAGGGGACCGATGGCAGAATGATAGCAGAGCAAACCCAAAGAATTGTAGAAATCAGTTTTAATTTATTCTGGTTGCCGCTGCTGAGCAGTTAGCAGTATAATCTGCTGCTTTGATTTACTTGCTCCTGATTTGATTTGCTCTGTTTTATTAAAAATTCCGACTCTACAGCAGAAAGTGGCATCATGGTGCCATAAACTCCGGATAGAGGTCTGAGCCTGAACAATGCCGATAATTATTTCGAATTTTGTAAAATTATATTGTAAAAAATAATTTAGACACTTTTTTAAATTGTAACTATTTTTAATATATACACTATATTGCCAAAAGTATTGGGCCCCTCCCCCTCCAAAATCATTGCATTCAGGGGTTCCCTGACATTTCCTTGCTACTAAATATTCCGCGGTCACCTGTTACTGGGATTATAACAAAGTGGAAGCAACTGGGAACAACAGCAACTCAGCCAGGAAGTGGTCGGCCACATAATATAGCGTATATATACACAGTATAATCACTCCTTGTCCTGGAAATCCAAGAAGTGAAAGGAAAAGACAAATCCCAAGTCCATTTAATGGTGAAGCGTGGCTGACGTTAGTCACCCGCACGTGTCTCTGGGTGCGTCCTCCTCACACCCTTCTACCACCAACATTGCTTTTGCAACTTTTCTTCCTTAACAATCTGTTACTTTATTATCACAACACATAATTTATGAATAATTTGGGACTTTGACTTCCTCCTGGGCTCAGAGACAGAGACTTCCCTGTGGATGGGATTTCCTCCCAGCTCGCCGCACGTGGGAGGTTGGGGCGGAGGTGCTGGACGGATTATAATAACAGAGATTATGTAAATTGGAATAAACATTGTAAAGCTGCCAATCCAATTATTTTACCGTCCTTGTCCTCTGCTGTTCCTTGCTCGCTCGAAGGCAAGCTCCACTCTGAGTGGTGGGTGGTACATGTGATCCCTTAGTACCGTGTTTCCCCCGAAAATAAGACACCCTCTTATATTTATTTTGCCCCCAAAAAACACACCAGGTCTTATTTTCGGGGGATGTCTTATTTTTTTTCTTCACATTCAGAATGCCCGCTGTTTTATTTACTGACCTTAATGGTATGGTAAGAATTAGAATATTACTGTTGCTCTATATCTAAAGACGCGGTGCACACAAGCATCAATACACGAGGCATGAGGTCTTAAAGAGGACCTGTCAGAGCAACAACAGACACCTGGCTACAGCGCTGGACTCTACCACTGCCTGGATCACACGGATCTCTGCATGGCGACATGTTGTCAGG